GCTGAGGGGCGGGGGGCTGCGGACGCGGCGTGGTCGGGGCCTCGGGGCCTCGGACAGCCGGGGCTGGGGGCGCGGGGCCGAGGGTCCGGAGGTGCGGGGCCCGGACTGCGGTGGTCTCTGGCTTTGCTCTCCCAACCTTCCTCCTTGGGCTCCCGGCTCCGAGTGAGAGGGGCTGAAACCTGCGGCGGGGGCGCGCGGCGGGGGCGCGCGTGGCCCGCTGGGGCTGGGTGGCTCAGTCCCGGGGTGTTTACCCGCTCACGTGGCTCCGCCGCGCTCCCCTGCGCGGCCGCGGCTTTGTGTTGGGGAGCAGGTTCCCGGGTTGCCAAGGCCGAGCGTCCGGGGTCTCCCGCCTCTCCTGCCGGCTGCCCAGGGACACCGGAGGGGCGATTCCGTCCCGTCTTGGGGGCTGAGGCCGCGGAGGAGCCTCGGCTGCGCGTCCCCGGCCACCTGGGGACGTGGAACCCGGCTCGGATCCGAGGGGTCCGCGGTGGGGCGGGAGAAGGAGCGAGGTCACCGAGCCCAAGGTGCCCGGACGCACCGGTGGCCTCCTCCCCTGCCGGCAGGTGGCGCCCTGGCCACCCCCCCGGGACGGTGTCCTCGCGGCGCGGTTGAATTCCCCCAGAAAACGCGTAAGCACGCGAGGAAAAGTTGCCAAACGCCTCGTTTGCGCAGCTCACTCGAATTTAGCTTTTCCTCATGTAATAATTACAACTCCCGCGGCTGGCATAGCTCTCTAGAGCACACAACGGGCCTTCCTTCGTACCTTCCACGCCTTTTGATCCTAAAACCACTCCAAGGGTACCTATTACAGCATAATCCTTCCTTCAAGTGAGGAAGTTGAGCCCCACAGGGAGGTCCCCAAGTTTGTGGCAACTCAAGACTGACCTTCTGTCCGCTTTCTCCAAATCCTGAGCTTTCTGCCGCACCGCTCTCCTTATTATTATGGAGGAAGGCAAGAGACAGGTCCCAGTTCTTTCTTCTCCGTGATACTTATTTACCAAACCCGGGAGAGCTACCAGGATGAATCCTGGCAATGTCTTAGAGCCCCGGGACACAGGGATGTTTTGTGCTGGGCGGGCTGTATGCTCCATGGCTGGGTAAGGCGAGACTCCGAAAAGCCAAAAAGTGCTTCTGGAAAACTTTGCATACAATTTTATTTCCCTCATTTTGTTTGGAAATACTTACCCATGGCTTCGATTCGTATTATTCTCCAAACACCCACAGTAGTGTGGCCTCTGCACGCTTCCATATGAGACGAGTCTGAAAAAATAAACTTTTCAAGTTGTAGGAGGATATGTATAACATGATCTCATTTGTGAAAAAACAAAAACAAAAACATTCTGATTGATGGGCATGTAAATGCGCAGAAATAAAGCTTGTAGGCAAACGTTTCTTGCAGTGACCTGTATGGAGAGAACCGAGGCTGGAGGGGCAGGGGGAGGTGAGGTGGGTGGACTTCCATTTTCTCCCTCCGTGGACTTGGGTCTTGTTAGCCTCTTTTACCAGGAGCATATATTCATGTATTATTTTTGTAATTAAAAAGTGTGGGAAGGGGCGCCTGGGTGGCTCAGTTGGTTAAGCGACTGCCTTTGGCTCGGGTCGTGATCCTGGAGTCCCGGGATCGAGTCCCGCGTCGGGCTCCCTGCTCGGCGGGGAGTCTGCCTCTCTCTCTGACCCTCCCCGCTCTCATGCTCTCTATCTCATTCTCTCTCTCAAATAAATGAATAAAATCTTTAAAAAAAAAAAAAAGTGTGGGAAGGAAAGTCCAAAAAGGCTTCTGCAGTGTGGAACATGCATGCCGGGAAGAGCCAGAGGTGAGGTTCCTGAAGGAAGCGAGTGAATGGGGATGGGCATTCTGGCGTTTGGTAGGCTGGAACTTGGGGGCCACCACAGAAACTTGGAAGGGATTGTTGTAGCATAAATAAAAAGGGGTCCAAACAATTGTGGTAATCTTCCAGAACTCTTTCTACCAGGATGGAAGCCGGGAGAAGGTATAATTAGGTTTAGGGAGGATCTGGATGAATCTGTGGAAAATGGATTCCCAAATAGGATACTGGGAGGTGTTCAGGAGGCTTGGGGCAGGTTCCAGACACTTGAGATTGATGCTCCAGAGCGTAACTGCCATGCACGGCCCAGCATGGCCATTGAAGCCTGGTGTCACACACTCCTGTGTCTCACCGACACAGCAGTCACAGGTGGCCTGTGTCCTTGAAATTCAAAAGCCCCAGAAGCAGAAGGCTTGGAGACAGCGTTTGGCACTGTGCCCTTCACAGCCTTGGCCTCGGCTTTGGCTCCGTATGTGTGTTTACAGTGGCTTGGTCTCAGCCAATGGGCCAAGTGACAGAGCTGTTTCTTGACAAATAGTCCTCCTTTATTTCATGGTATTGGTCCTGTCGGCATCTGAGTTTTGGATGTGGTGTGTGTTCACCTTCGTGTGTCTGCGTGTGCACATGTGTACAAGCCTATGCCCGCCCTTCTGGGTCTGACCTGGGCTGGGGCCACCTTGCCTAACCCACAGTGCTCTGCTTTGGTCCCCTCTGTCAGAAGCCCAGGGTGCACCTCTCTGTTTAAGCTATTTTGGTAAAAAAAAAAAAAAAAAAAAAGGAGGACCCCACTTCCTCAGAGGGTTGTTCCCAGAAGAACCTAGCGGCCCTGCGTACGGGCCACTAATGATTTTTGCCAGCCATAGAGCTGTTCAGGTGCCAAATAAAAGCTGAAGGGAAATGCAGCATTAATGCACCTGCTGGGTTGCACTAGGAACAGAGCCCCCGATCCCCTGCTGCAGTTTCTCCATTCTACCCTAGTAAGCATAATGCATTTGTGAAACTCTTTAGAGTATACACATTTCCCTCATTTCCCTTTCTTCTAGACTCCTTCCCTCCCACCCTTCTCTGCCACAGATGTTTATGGGGGGGGGGTCTTGTCTGTTGTCTCCTCCTCACCTCTATCTCCAACCCTAAAGGGGCCAGAGCAGGGTGATCAGGGCACAAGGAGTGAGACCAGACAAGGGTTTCTATGCCTTATCCGTGTTAAGGATAGGTCTCCCAGCGGGAGGAAGGAGAAATTTTGTTTTATTTATTTATTTATTTAAAAGATTTTATTTATTTATTTGACAGAGAGAGAACACAAGTAGGCAGAGGAGCAGGCAGAGGGAGAGGGAGAAGCAGGCTTCCCGTGGAGCAGGGAGCCCGATGCGGGACTCGGTCCCAGAACCCTGGGATCATGACCTGAGCTGAAGGCAGCTGCTTAACCGACTGAGCCACCCAGGCGCCCAGGAAGGAGGAATTTTAATCCAGATAAATAATAAATTTTTATATTTCATATTAATTTTTGGAGTGGAGGTGTTCTTCTGACTAGGAGAAAACAGAAGAGATGTGGGACCTGCCCAGATTGCAGCAGAGGAAGGAATGAATACGTCCGGAGAGTGGGTTCATGGGGCAGGGGACCAAGGACAAAGCTGTTTTTTGCTTCTCCTCTGAAGACGAGAGCTCATTCCAGAAACCGCTTACCCTTGTGTAGGGTCCGAGGCACGAGAATAAATGGAACCCACACACCGTAGGGCTAAATGTCTATATGTTATGACTCAGGCTAACAGATGGTTCAGTAAGTGGGTTCTGTCCACCAGCCTTGATGAGTGTACCTTCTCAGGGACCTGGAAAGCCGGGTCAATGAGGAATTCATAGATGCCTCAGAATTCTGTTCTGGAAAATGGTGGTGGGGGAGGGCTGGCTCTGGCCCACCCTCTACCCGGGATTCCTCCCACACGGTGAGGGGCTTTGTGCACAGGCTTATGAACCCCTCAAGCTGCACGTCCAAGTTCACTCCACACCCGTTGGCCTAGAAGTGGGCAGACTAGCTCCGGGGTCTGCCTGGAAGGATGGTCCTACCTTTAGTGATGCTGATACTAATGAATGAGGAATAGTTCCTCCTTGAACCCTCACCAGCTGGTGGCCTGTTCCATCCTTGTGGCTTCACCTGCATGAACCTGTCATCCTTACCATGCCTCTCGAGGCTGCCCACTCACGCCCCACCCCGCCCCACTCTGCCATTATTCTGGGCACCGGGATGTCTAGGTGTGTGGTTCACCAATGCCCCACATTACTCTAGGCCTCCCCTTCCCCTCCCCGTCCCCTTAGCCACTATCCTTGGCCTTGTGCCTTGCCAGGCTCTCACTTCCCTGCATGAACCTCCTCGCACCTCAATATGTCGCTATCATAAATTTCATAAATTCTGGACACCGGCTCTGCCATCCCACCCCTCACTCGCCTGGCTGACCCCTCCTTTGCTCACTCCGTCTTCTCTTAGCCGATCTACTTGTCCCATCTTTGTGGCCTTCCGAACTTCAACTTCCTGTCCCCTTGACCTTCTCTCCCAGCTGCCTAGAAAGGCCCCCCACGGGACCCTCCAGCCTCCCGTGGAGGGTCAGGGGGGCTGTGGATCTGCTGTAGCAAAGCCATTGCTCATCAGCAGTGGTGATAGGGTCTGGTTTCCTGCCTCTCTGCCCAGGTACCTGGAGATAGGGCGCTGTACCAGCCAGCCCTGTGACGGTGACGCTGTGGAGCCTGGTCCAGGACCAACGTAGCCACTGTCTGGTGGGGCCCGTTTTAGTTCTGTAAGGATCTGCCTTTCTCCTCTGCACAGCTGCCCGATGGACCTTTCTCAGCAGCAACAGAGAGCACGCTCCTCTGGTTGAAGCTCTTTGGTGACCCACCATCTCCTGCATCGGCGTAGCTGACAAGTTTCAGTTCTTAGGTCAGCTCTTAGTGACTGGTAGGAGCCGCCCAGGCCAGTGGGTTAAGAAGGATTCTGAGGTGGAGTC